TGAAAAAGTAACTCAGATATTTTCTTGTAAATTAAAAAGCAATGCATTATTTTACTAGTTACTTGAAAAACGTAATCTGATTACGTAACTTGTATTACTTGTAATGCGTTACCCCCAACACTGGTCATATCTAATTTCACTACTCCTCTTGCCGGCAAGTTTGATTGTAGTAGTATACAAGTCATTATTCATGTTTAGGATGTAAACCCTGCTGCAAATAGAATGCTGAAATATTAATTTTGTTCTCTTGATTTGACTCGTCACAGTCAGCTTCAAGGATGTGGAAGCCTCTCACTCAGACAAAGCTGATGATGGTAACGACGATGATGACGTTGAGAATGGAGGTGAACAGTCGACTGCCCCCAAACCTGACACACCAGACAGCATGTTCATTTTCAAAAGCACAAATCCGTAAGTTGACATTTTTACATGATCCCACACGTTTAGATGTTGTACAGTATACTATGCATGACAAACAGGACAAATATGTGACCCTGGAGCACAAAAGCAGTGTTAAGTCGCTGGGGGATATTTGTAGCAATACCCAACAATACATTGTATGGGTCAAAATTATCAATTTTTCTTTTATGCCAAAAATCATTAGGATATTAAGTAAAGATCATGTTCCATGAAGATATTTAGTACATTTCCTACTGTAAATATATCAAAACTTAATTTTTGATTGGTAATATGCATTGCTAAGAACTTCATTTAGACAACTTTAAAGGCGATTTTCTCAATATTTTGATTTTTTTTGCACCCTCAGATTCCAGATTTTCAAATAGTTGTATTTCAGCCAAATATTATCCTCTTATCCTAACAAACCATACATCAATGGAAAGCTTATTTATTCAGCTTTCAGATATTGTATAAATCTCAATTTCGAAAAATTGACCCTTATGAGTGGTTTTGTGGTCCAGGGTCACATATAATGTCTACAATCATGCTCTTTTTGTAACCGAAGCATCAGAAGGATCTGCCACTATGTGGTGACCCTGCGCTACTTCGAGATGACCATTCTCCTGGTGATTGTGGCCAGCAGCATTGCACTGGCTGCTGAGGACCCTGTGTGCACCAATTCAGAGAGGAATAAAGTAAACCATTATATTTCAACATATTGCATGCTTAACGTCTCATATAATGACTAATGTAATGACTGCAAGTATTTTGAAAACAACATACATATTCTTGTATCTTGAAATAAAAGTGACAGGTTTGTTTACTGTGTGATTGCAGGTTCTTCGTTACTTTGATTACGTTTTCACTGGCGTTTTCACATTTGAAATGATTATAAAGGTAACTGCTTTGCTACTTCAAACATGATTTAAATAGTTGTTCAGTTAAAGGCGGTATAAGGAATTCATTTTATTGATTTATTGATTTATTTTTGCTAATCTCATGATATGATTCCAAAACTCTGCCCTCCAAAAGCATCTGCAAACTCCAAGCCACTTTTTTTTTTACTGTTCACAGAGTCTAGTATGGAGCCAGATAAGTCTCAAAATAAATGTATTTACAAAATTTGATTTGTAATAATGCATAAAAGAAAAGTTTGTGTGTGTGTATTTTGAGACTTTCCTGGCAGGTCTTGCCTCATATGTGTTTCTGTTGTACTATTTAGCCAATCAAATTTGAGCCTCTCAGTCAATTTGTGAATGTGAATGATATGAATCTTATTTTGTAAATGCATTTATTTTGAGAGTATGCTGGCTCCATAGTCTAGGGCTGTCACAGAGATATTTGATATTTGTAATGATATTTGTATATCTAGATACAGTATGTAATGCAGGTAGACATATATAGAATTTTACATATAGGTATAAAATACAGAAAATTTTCCATATTCTGTATAATAGTATATTATGCCATTTTACACAGATGATCGACCAGGGCCTCATTCTTCACGATGGATCATATTTCCGTGACTTGTGGAACATTCTAGACTTTATTGTGGTGGTTGGGGCTCTAATTGCCTTTGCATTGACGTAAGTATTTCAAATTAGAGCCATCTTCCTTTGTGACATCAAGTCAGATTTTTGATTATATAGAATGTATCTGGACTCATTCTACTTTATAGACATCTGACAACAACTCCAGGCTCAAGACCTCAGATAACTTTCAACATAGGCTCATTGTAAAAACATGCCTCTGTCAATATTTTTGCAAAACTCCAAAAACCTATACCTACAGTATACATACAATTCACTGCAGTTTCCAGGTAAAACACTAATACATTTTGTTCCTGTTCATTCAAATTATGATTACAGGGGCAGATTAATAAAGACTTATTTGCATGCAGTTCCTTGCACAATACTATGCTATGACCTTAAAACTCTTTCACCATAGTGCACGAATTGTAAACTAATACATTTTTACGTTTGCATTACAGATGTTTGGCTTTTCTGATGTTGTAAACTTGCTCTGTCGCTCACCTGGTACAGCATTGCACTTGCAATGTGGAGCGCTCGGGTGAAGATAAAAGAGCTCAAATGCTAGCAGAAACAAGATAAAATGGCAAATGTGTTTTTACCTCATGTTTGCTTTTGTCAACACTAGCGTTGGGGTTTAGGGTCGGATTTAGTGTGGGTGTGTTACTTTTTAGTATCACATTTCATTTCCAGACTGTCGCGATACCTTAATCTGTTTCGTAAAAAAAATTTGAAAATGCTTTTTGACACCACTCACTTGTGAAACATGAAAGAAGCAACATAATATATACATATTAGCAGAAATGTCACAACAGGCATGTTTTTTCCAGTGAACCTGGGTTGATAACTGTATAATCTAATCTTACTGTGACCCATTGGTCAGATGTGTCTACAATGTATATATATTTGTATATGTGTGTACAATTTTTACAGATATAATATAATAAATTTAATTTATATAAACCATTTATCACATCAACATAAACAAGCAGTACAGAAGCATATCTCAGTTACATCAGTAACTCAAACAACAATGCCAAGGTCATGTTTTTGATTCCCAGGAAATGCATGAACTAAAAAAATTTATCCTTTTTAACGTAAAGTGGAAACGCTTTGGATAAAGGGCTTTGCCACATGCATAAATGCAAATACAACCTGGGGTTTGATTATGATCCATTGTGGAGTTCGTACAAAGCCAAATCCAGAGCACAATTTGTGCAAAATACAAGGCTGCTTGGTTTCAACTAACTGGTACAGAAACATACCAAATAACTAGGTTAAGATAAAAGCATGGGTCAGCATTAAAGCAAGTGAAGGAGTCTGTAATGCAGTATGAGAAGTGGCTTTTCATTCCCCTCCTTAAATCTGCATCTATGAGTGTGAGAACATATAATACTCTATATATGTACTGTAATACTGTTCCTGTGGTAACATTAGGACCTCTGGTAAAAATCCTAAATTCCTTCCATGGGAATGATTATTCTACTGTATAATACACTACCCTTCAATTAAAAACTACATATGTCGATCTTTATAGGCGTTCACTGGGGGAGGGTGTACAGTCAGACAATAAGGGTTGATCAGTGGCTAATTTAATAGATATAGGTAAGTAGGTGAACTTCTATAATTGGATAGTAATTGTGAGTTGAATATGGTTAATTAGTAGTTTAATTCTCAGTGGATAACCAGACCATTACTTTCCTGGCTAAAAGTCGACCAAAGGAAAGAAGTAGTTGCTATGCTAGGGAACTTATAAATTGGAAGAAAGGATCATGAATAATTAGATGAAGTACATGCACACTTTAGTGCAAAAACTGATCCCAAAACAGCCCAAATTTTGTCCACTCGCCCAAAACAATTTTGACCCGGACATTCAAATTCAAAACCGCCCTATCTTGCAACACTGCCATCAACATTGTCATAGTCTCTTAACAGCATCAGAGCCTTTATTTTTAATTGAACCTGCCTATTCTTAAGGTACGATCACAAAAGCTGCATTGTCTATCATTAATAATGTAGCGATGTACGAAGCAACGCTCACACAGAAGTCACTTTCAAACCAAGCAGTTTTCTGTTGGTCAAATTGGCGAATCCGCGTTACCAACTTGACGAAACAATGTTAAAGGGATAGTTCACCCAAAAATGGAAATCCTGTCATCATCAAGGTATAGCCATTGACTTCCACAGTAAGTCAGTGAGGTTTGGAACAACTTGAGGGTGAGTAAATGATGGCATGATTTTCATTATTTGGGTGAACTATCCCTTTAAATGTGATCGCACCTTTAGGCTCCTGTTGACAGAACTAGACTGATGTGAATAGTAAGTAATGTCCAGCATGTGGACGAGTTATTTGACAGACTGGGAAGAATGGAGTCCAGAGAATCACACTTACTAACTTGTTTAGAATATTTAGGCTAAACAGGTATAACAGGTCATCATTTAATGCTATGCAAAAAGAATATAGTACATGCATGACAAGTGAAGCAAACTCTTCGTTCTTTATGTACGGCGCTTCATCGGTGGAAAGAAGCCGATGGCGACTGAACTAGTGGAGGTGGTGTGTTGTGAGATTTGGCTATACGTGATATCGACACAAAGTGCAGTATATGAATTTCATTTTCTTTCTTAATAGCAGGCCAAATCCTGTTCTATTTTTAAAGCATATTGCGGGCTGATTCAGAACAGGCTATGTGCCCGTGGGCTGGACTTTGGACACCCCTCATTTAAGTTATATAAGTTATACTCTTGAATGCTTGTTGCTTGCTAATATATTCTAAAACTGAGATGGAAGTCACACATATGTAGTTAGAATATAGTGTAGTTTAGAGGAATGTATACAGTACATATGATCTTAAACATGCATTAAAATAGCTTCAGTTATTAAAAAATGATGGTGTCCTAAATGTAATAGTCTATTTGGGAAACCCTTGAGAGAAGCCCTAAAATCACGCAGTACAAGTCTTATTAACGAAAGCTGCCAAGCATTAAACATATGTACAGAAATGTTTATTACCAGATAATAAGATATTGCTCACAATTTATCAAAATGTTATGGGTCATTTTTTATATATGTATCCTGATCGTTCCACTTGAAAGAATAAGCATGTTATTCAAGGAAGTATTTCTATAAAAGGATATTCCAGATGTTCATAAATATGCTCTGGCTCGTTATTTAATGGCTTTACACACACTTGAGATGTTCATGTGTTCTTTCTCTTTTAATGCTTCTCTGTTGTTGTTTGGATTGTGTCTCTGTGGCTGCCAGGAATTTAATGGGGTAACAGCAGACGCTTCTCATTTGTCACATTGCCTCTCCATTTAATATGAATTGCCACCCATCATTTATTTACTGTATGTGTGTTAATATTGTGATGTCTGATCCATGTTTGCATTTACTAATTTAAAATGTTCACTCATTTTCTAACTATTTCAGCCATGCATAGACATGCCTTGCAACACTGCCATCAACATTGTCATAGTCTCTTAACAGCATCAGAGCCTTTATTTTTAATTGAACCTGCCTATTCTTAAGGTACGATCACAAAAGCTGCATTGTCTATCATTAATAATGTAGCGATGTACGAAGCAACGCTCACACAGAAGTCACTTTCAAACCAAGCAGTTTTCTGTTGGTCAAATTGGCGAATCCGCGTTACCAACTTGACGAAACAATGTTAAAGGGATAGTTCACCCAAAAATGGAAATCCTGTCATCATCAAGGTATAGCCATTGACTTCCACAGTAAGTCAGTGAGGTTTGGAACAACTTGAGGGTGAGTAAATGATGGCATAATTTTCATTCTTTGGGTGAACTATCCCTTTAAATGTGATCGCACCTTTAGGCTCCTGTTGACAGAACTAGACTGATGTGAATAGTAAGTAATGTCCAGCATGTGGACGAGTTATTCGACAGACTGGGAAGAATGGAGTCCAGAGAATCACACTTACTAACTTGTTTAGAATATTTAGGCTAAACAGGTATAACAGGTCATCATTTAATGCTATGCAAAAAGAATATAGTACATGCATGACAAGTGAAGCAAACTCTTCGTTCTTTATGTACGGCGCTTCATCGGTGGAAAGAAGCCGATGGCGACTGAACTAGTGGAGGTGGTGTGTTGTGAGATTTGGCTATACGTGATATCGACACAAAGTGCAGTATATGAATTTCATTTTCTTTCTTAATAGCAGGCCAAATCCTGTTCTATTTTTAAAGCATATTGCGGGCTGATTCAGAACAGGCTATGTGCCCGTGGGCTGGACTTTGGACACCCCTCATTTAAGTTATATAAGTTATACTCTTGAATGCTTGTTGCTTGCTAATATATTCTAAAACTGAGATGGAAGTCACACATATGTAGTTAGAATATAGTGTAATTTAGAGGAATGTATACAGTACATATGATCTTAAACATGCATTAAAATAGCTTCAGTTATTAAAAAATGATGGTGTCCTAAATGTAATAGTCTATTTGGGAAACCCTTGAGAGAAGCCCTAAAATCACGCAGTACAAGTCTTATTAACGAAAGCTGCTAAGCATTAAACATATGTACAGAAATGTTTATTATCAGATAATAAGATATTGCTCACAATTTATCAAAATGTTATGGGTC